AGTTAGATCTTCTTTAGGCTCTACAGTTATGATTGGAGGCCTACTCGAATCGCTGGGATACTTGAATTTCTATCTGAGACAATGACTCTTGGTTTCTTAAGTTCGTGTTGTTTATAATCATTCAGTTATATCCATGGGTTGGAGGATTTCGTCATGGGTTGATATCAGTTCCAGAACCACTGAAGAACCTGGGAGTACTGGACAGATGTCAGTCTAGTTTGGGACTCTTCATCAGTACGCACTCACCAGGTTTCTAAGTGTTCCAATGCCACCTCATGATGAAATCCTCAAACCAATCAAACAGAATTTTAGCTGCGAAAGTCAGCCATTGCAAGAAAATGAAACAGAAGGAATAAACGAATAAACAAACAAATGAACACACTTTAGTGACAAACTTATTTTGAATTATTAATGGCAGCAGTTTGAATCTTATCGAAAAATAAAGGATGGACAGATGAGTAAAAAAACAAACAAAATAACTGTTAAAAGCACAAACAAAAAATGACAGGATATAAATAGAAACACGGAAACAGAAAAAGAAAACTCATCTTATTAATACTTAAAATACCCATTTCAACTATAATCGAATTCGACATAAAACTGAGGCATTCTTCAGTTAAAATATCCATCAATTCTTCTTATTTCCACCCACATATATATTTTAGTTAAATGAACGGATCGAAGCAACTCTGAGTAGAGAAAACGGACAGTAAATGGTTACTAACGCTGATTGAGTTTACAACGTAGAACTTTGAACATAAATGGCAAACCTTCGAATTGATGTTGTTACTAGATGGTTGGAGGCAATCGGCCACAGGAAGCCTCACCTCACCTAGGTTTCGTGCTCTAGTTGGCACTCACCAGTCAGCAGGGCAGGCGTATCTGCAACCGCCTTCAAGGAACTCATGTCCCTTCTGAGATTCGAACCCGCGTCATCCAGTACTGCAGTCAGAGACGTCACTACTGAGCTATTCGAGCTCACAATTGAAGTCCTGCATTATTATTCGCTTCCTTTCCGACTGGACCATACGGCTTTAACAACACATTTCCACTTTCTTCTATTCTCTCCTGTCCTCTTCTCCTGGCTGGCGCCATGATTGCCCATTATCTCTCATCTCCTCCTCTCCAATACACGATCTTTTCTATCTCACTCTCTCACCTCCTCGTCACCCGTTTCCCATTCGCGATTCACTCGAGCGATGGACTGCATTTCATGCAATGTCACTCGACAGTCACGTCAGTGGTGTGTGCCCAATCCATCTCCATTTTATTCTACGTATTTGTCGGACAATGGGTTCTCGGTTGGTTCATTCATTGCCAGTCTCTTGTTCGCTGCTAATTCTTCCTGGCCGGCCATTCGATCTCCAGTGTGTAGCCAGCGAAGTGGACAGCTGTTGATGAAAGTCTGCAACAGGCTGTTGGAAATCCTTCTCGCGACACGCTGGCCAAGTTTCTGACCTGTACAGAAGAACCGACTGGCTTCACATTAGTGTTGAAAATACGAACCTTGTTCCTTATGCTGGCTGAGTGAAGCAGAAGATTTACAATCTGGTTTCAGGTTGATCAAGGCGTATCTCGCCTCTCCGATTCTCGCTGACTGGATGGCTGGCTTTGACATCTTCATCCGTTCCTCCCAACCTGTAGCTTAAATGATGCTTCTTAGACACATAAGTGAAGGAGGTCACCACTCTCAAATCTCCTCCTCCCGTTGATGGTGATTGGTACTGGTTGTTTTTGTTGTTGGCTGGTTAGTTATCTTCATAACCTCCGTCTTCTCAGTGTTCACCACCTGGATTCGGTCCTGTCTTCGCTGCCTGCCTGCTTCTTCAGCCAGTTTGTTGGTTTTCGACTGACTGCCTGGAGGTATTCGAGTTTATGTGACACTAGACATATATCATTTGCGGAATTCAGATCTACTAGACCCTTTTCATCGATGGTCTGGTGTATCCCTGTCTCCTCGCTCCCCACGCACAGTCTTCCGCATAATCCAGTGCACCACAATTAGGAGTATCATTGTCCGTGATGATAGGCAGCCAGCCAGCTTTGTCTTACTGAGCCTCACTGAGTTTCCCGTTACGGATCACCTCACACGTGGCATTGTCATATAAGCAGCTGTTGAATGATGTTGATAAAGACTTGGGCACTGCACGCCATAGTGTTAAAGCAGTTGCCAAATTACTTCTTTGTCGACGCTCTCTGTCGAATACCTTTTCGAAGTCGATGAAGAAATTTGAGGAAGAGGTTTGACTACCAATCTATGCTTTGTCCTGTAGTGACGATGCGTAGAGTTGCAATTTGATCCACGCATGATTCGCCTTTTCTGAATCCAGCTTGTTCCGGCGGCCTGACATAGTTCTGCATCCAGTGCATCCTTTATTCTCTCCAGGATGATGCAACTTAGTATTTTATTTGGCCTGGACAAGAGCATCATTCCACACCAGTTCTTGCATCGGGGGGAATTCTATTTGGTTTTATTTCCTTCCCGCCTGGACTTCAGTAGCTTGATCGCGCTAAGGATTTCTGCTTTCGTTGAAGGATTGGTGTCCTCTGGGCAGCAGTTCTGTGCGTGCTGTTTATGGTAGTGGTATTTGTGGCCGAGTTGCAGGTGATGGTCGATTCAATAGTCCTTTAAAGTGATCAGTCCACTGTTCTATTTGTTTCTCTGCCTTGGTGATCAGGTTCAATTGAACATTGCAGTTACCTCACCTCTTTCAAAATAATCGAAAGACTGCTTCTACTTAACCTTGAACCTTCACTGAAGGCTTCCAACGGCCCTAATCAATTCGCTTATAAACACAGTAGGTGTATTTTAGATGCCAGTGTCGTCTTATAGCATCATATTACCTCCAGTTTAGACGGAGGTGCTAAATATGTTCGATGTGTCTTCCTAGATTATACATCTGCCTTCCACTCTGCACCTAGGCCTGTTTTGTCGAACAAGCTTGGTGCGACACAAGCAGGCTGCATTCCTACTATGCTCAAGGGAGGCAGTACACTGTTTACAATGGGAAGTCCTCCACTGCTTCACTTAATCTAGCTAGTATTCCTCAATCAGGGTGTTGTTCTTTCTCCTTTTCTGTTTTCTTTCTTCTTACATGACTTACTAGCCCCATTCTGACGAAGTCAATTTTGTTAAGTACGCTGATGATATGACTGTTACTCCGTCAGACTATTCAAAAACTGGTCAGTGGTCCTCGTCAAATGGTGTTAAGCTTAATCCCCCTACCCCCAAATGTCAGGTGGTCAATTTCACCTTCACACATGCAAGTGTGACTTACATGAAAATGGTTAGTTCGCACGGTTCCACTATCATAGATGCCACACAAGTTGAAACCAAATCGAATGTGAATTTCCTTCGATCACCTTTCCTGGTCTTCCCACATCATGTTAGTTTTCAGAGAGATATTTCCTTCAGTGTTCTAGAAAAGGAAGTTTAGACTATCTGGTATCATTCCGTCTTTACTGTTACCGTTTGTTAATTCTTGTATTTCTGAATTGATTGTGTTCTCTGAGCTGGTTAATTTAATTGCGATGCTTTCGTCATCCCCCACTTGGACGACATCGCTTCAGCGCACGTTTTAGTATAAAATGAAGTCATTTAAATTCTCGATGAATGATGGTTTAGTTGTATCTCCTAGCAACCATCGCGTCGTGACTGGATGTTAATTTACTTCTCTATTGATCATATTTTTATTGACTTGGAATCTGAATTTTCTTGTCACGTGATGATTTGCTTTTTATTTGTTGGTAGATTTAGTCTATAGTGATTAGTGTGTTTGTTAATCCATCGCTGGCTGATTCACTTGAGTACCAAGCAGACCTCTAGGAATTCTCTTGCACTTTCGGTCTTTCCTCAATTAAAAGTTCCGACATTATCCCAATCAAACTGTTGTCCGTAATTATCTACATGAATTGATACGAAAGAATATATATCACTCCAATTTGTGTTCTTGGATTCTGATTCGAAAAGGACGCCCACTTTGTTGACCGATGTAATGTTTATATGAGTTTATGAATGCAATTTATTTTTCCTGTTGGATCTTTTATACTAAAAGCTGCGCTGAAGATGTTGTCTAGAGGGATTACAAAAGTCTCGGAATTAAAAATCAACCAGCTCCGCGAACATAATGAATTCAATATCATCCACCTGAGCTACAAATCTTCTCCAGTATTCTGCCTATCCTGTTTTACTGCTCCCCCCCCCCCCCAGCTTAATCTTTCCCGGGCTACTAAAGAAAGACTACTTTGTCAGACTGCGAAGGGCAATAAAAGTCGTCAGTAGGGTGTCGCTAGGCTAAACCAACTCTTCTACTATTGTAGACAGTGAACATATGGACTCCTGCAAGAAAAATTAGCAAATACTATCTTGTCAGACTCTGAACATCCCCTCCCTCTATATACACAACTCTCTCCTTGCTGCATCTCATCGGTTAGGTAGGGGAACTAGAAGCAACTATAGAAAGAGACTGTGTGCAGATATGCCCTGATGACTGGTGAGTGCCAACTAGCATGATACCTAGGTCAGGTAGGACTTCCCTCCGATTGTCTCCAACCATCTAATAGTCACATATCTCCTTATGCATTTCTCACTATATATATATATATATATATATATATATATATATATATATATCACGAGTTTACGGAATCCTAATGGCTCGCTGAATAGTCGACTGGATGGGATCACATATATACGAGCTGCTTGCTGGAGAGGAGGCCCACACTAGGACGAAACAACTAACCAGTACCATAACCTGAGTTTTACTGATTCTCTACCTGATTTCAATTCACGATTACACCTGAAATCAATCAAATATGCCTACAAACCAAACCGATCACTTATCACAGAATGACTGGCTGGAATTTCGCAGTAATAAGTGGATACAAGGCAAAAGACACACCATTCTTTAACAGGTCATATATATATATTTTTATTTCTGCATATCCTAAATTTCTAAGAAATTAGAAAAAAATTAATACAACACCTCAATTGTGTAAGGAGAAAAAGCAATAATATACAAAAAAGTAGTCGTAGGAGGAGAAGTAAAGCAAAAGGGAACTAATGAAGGATTGTACTGTACAATGTGTAGCAAAAAAAACATACCACACAAGGCATTATTGTGTGTGTGTGTGTTTGTGCGTTGGTTACACAACTTTCGATCTGTGCATTTTCATATAATGCAGAAATGCACTCGCCTCTTTATACTCTGGATGTGTTTGACTAATTTCAAAGGCTGGATTTCGAAGAAATTCATCAAAACGATCATCATTACAGAATTCTTCTGAATTGTCATCGGCTAACCACTGTGCGTGTTTGTTTGTATGTGTGGAGACAAAAAGAGATAGATAAAACATAGAAAAAGAATTCGGTAAACACAATGCTTAAAACATGATTAGTAAAGTAGAATTCAAACAGTTTATTTACTCAAATATATTCAAGTATTGATTTAATTGGTTACAGGATTTCATCATGAGCTGATATCGGTTAGAGAAGAACCATTGGAAAACCAGCATTGGAGTACTACCAGCCAGCTGTTTCGTCAGCCTAGTTTTTGACTCTAAGTCTCCAGCGACTTAATGGTCTACGAGCTAGCTCGCCTTGCAACCAGAAGGCTCTGGGTTCGAACCCCAATGCGGTGGTGCTTACTGATGAAGAGTCACAAACTAGAACGAAACAGCTGTTCAGTACTGCTTGCAGTTTATCTCTAAGTGGAATTTCGTATTTCTTATTGACAGATTATTAATATTGGACTGAAATCGTCAGTCTCTGAGGTGACATGCCCGCTCGTAGTACGGACGCTTCCAAGTTGTCTGAGGATGTTATTTGGTGGGTGGTGACTATTAGGAGAAACAAATTGATTACCTCTCCTTTGGTGTTTGAAACTATAGTTGCTTGGTTCGAGTCCTAGTGGGGACACTACTCACTGAGGACTGTAGATACATTCACCTGACGAAATGACCATTCTGCATTCCATTGCTAGTAACAATCCACCAAACAGAATCTAAGTCTACAGTTCACCAGCATAGCGATGCATCGCGGTGTGTTTGTGTGTGATATTTAAAGTATTCTTTAACCGATATCAGCTCATGATGAAATTCTGTAAGCAATCAAATCAATTCCCTGCAAACCAACATACTTGAACATCCCTTTACCATCAAGTGACAATCATAAATGTATGATGACGCAATTTACTGCTGGTTGATTGACATGAGTTGTTGAATACCACTCACGTCAGACAGTGGTGCTTGCTAACCAACCAGCCAGCCAGATCATCAAAGAAGTCTAAACGCAGGATGACCATCTCACTCGTTTAAGATTAAACTCATTAGCGGCGTATCCGGAGCGATTCACCCTGGAGGAAAGGTGAATCAATTCAAGATACCCGATTTCGAGCAACTTGAAATTTCCTCAATCAGAGGTGTTACGATGCCCAGCCATCGACTGCTTTCCTCGTCAACGGGCAATAGTAGCTGACTGAGTGACATAGGATGGATTAGGTTGGTGAAGAGTGAGCTAGTGGTGGTGCTCAAACCAAAACATAGCTTCATCATTCAATTAAATAAATCCATAACAGTGAGTTTAAGCCAGCCAACCAGCCAGCCATGTATGGAGGTGTAAACTTCCTGACTGGCTGGTTTTGGTCTTCGGGATGACAACAAACAATGCTGGTGGTTGGAGACAATTGGTGATGCGGCTCAAAATCGTTCTCAATGGCTGGTGCAGATGCATTCACTCCTTGTGATTTATCATATCCAATAAAACTCTATTCTTCTTGTTCCATATTACTACTCTTTTTCCCTCACAGTTCTGTCTATAATCTCTCCTTACTCACTTTTCTTGCTTTGTGTGCTACATGGGAGGGAGAGTGGCAACTACGTAGAACTGCTGCACATCTTTGCAAAGTTCTATGTTAAAACCAGTCAGCCATTTCAAGACAGTTTCTTTCGAGACTAAAATTATTTAGATCTTAATATGTGGTCGGCTGGACATCATGAACAACAGTCAGGAAATCAAGCACAAATGCATCATGATATATCCTACTAAGTGGGGAGATATGAATACGCAAACACACTAGTGGTTAGTATTGGTTTGTAGGGATTTGATTGATTGGTTACAGGATTTCATCATGAGTTAACACCAGGATAGAGAACCATTGGAAAACCAACTCGGAGTACTGGACAGCTGTTTCACCCTAGTTTGGGACTACGGCGGTTCGAACCCAGGACGTTCCGGTCTACGAGTTCACCTTGTAACTGGAAGGTACTGGGGTTCAAACTCCCGTAGGGTAGGTTCGTACTGATGAAAAGTCCCAAAATAGGACGAAACATCTGTCCAGTACTCCCAGGTTTTACACAATGTTCTCTAACCGATGTCAGGTCATCATGAAATCCTGCAACTTATAGTTAGTGTGAGAGGTGTCCAACTACTCATGTTATGTCGCTTGCTTTCTTGAATGGTGTCACGTAGATTACGTATTGAGTGTTATCTGAATAATGTCGGTCTCCGAAAGAAACTGTGGTGAAGTTTCCGCCTTGAAAGGTGTAAAATGAAAATCACGAATGAATATAATTCAAGTCATTATCAGTCACATTTAAATTTTTTACACCTACAAGTCAAACTACTATAAACCTTATTAGTAGTGTAAAGCATTTTGAAGCATTTAAATGACAGTTGTCTACTTGTGGAAAGGAATAACGTCTGTAGTCGTGATTATCCATAGAATCTTTCCGAAGGGATCCTTGTGTCTCCCTTCATCCCTTGCCGAAGACACTAACTTCAGTAGACATAGTCCCCTGTTTATAAAACAGTCCAGTCCTTCCACGGTAAATATATATTCCTGATTTTGTTTAAACTTTGATTATATAACACCTCCTCCTTTATCCTTGCATAAGATTTTCTGTAAAAATGTGGTTCAATCATCTTACAACCGATAGGTCCTAGGGTTCCAAACCTACTTCGCCTACTTTAGCTTGAACAACTTAACTAGTGGGCAGTATACCGTCAGCCCTCACACAAACAATGTGGCTTCATAGACTTTATTCAAAAAAACATGGGATCATTACTATTATAGCTATTCTTATCACACCTAACACTGACACCTAAAGATCTCAACAGTTATTCCGAATCATCAGAATCCCGTGTATGGTTGCATCCATGTCTACTAGAGTAATGCCTAAGGATGATTTCAACTGGAAATAATAACATTGATTACTTATGTCTTCTTTCGAATCCTGGCAATGGAAACCTCCAATATGTTAAAATACATAAATAGGTGATTTATCTAAGAGAGAATAAACATACCAGTTTAGATTCACGTTCTATTCTTGCTTGAACTTTACGCTTCTTTTCCAAGATCTTAGTACGCTGAAAATTGAAAATAATGAAAGAAAAGCTTATCAGAATTATGATGTATGATCAAGTTTACAGTGTAATAATTAAAAAAAAAAAAACGAGTTGGATAAAACTCACCACTTAATAAACAACGTCTTCAACGACATCAAATTCACAAGAGAAGAGAAATTCGAGAACAAAATCCCATTTTTGGATGCCTTAGTTAAACGAACAACCACAGCTTGGCGAAGCTGTCTGCTTATTATCACCAACGATGATATTCCTAATTGTGATGGACTGGATTATGCGTCAGACTGTGTACAGGGAGTGAGAAGACAGGAATACACTGCACTGACCCATAAGAAGACTCTAGAAGATCTGGATTTCGCTATTGGATGATTTATGCCTAAACATCACACGCACAGGCACGAAGACTTGCAGGCAGGCGAAAACCAACAAACTGGCTGAAGAAGCAGCCAGGCGGCGAAGACAAGATTGACTCCACGAGGTGAACATAGACAAGACAGAGGTGGTGAAGACAAGAAACAAACAGCAACAGTAACAACAACAACAACCAGCACCAATCATTATGAACGGGATAAATTTGACAGAGGTTACTTCCTTCGATTATCTGGCTAGGCAGCCAGCACATCATTTCAAACACAAGCAGTCGGACAGCAACGCAGGCCATCACTAGAATGGAATCCCAATGGGAAGCAACTAGTAGGTCATCACTGCGAGGATGACATGGAGATTGTGTGGTGAAGAGGAAATGAAAGATTATGGGCGATCGTGAGCACAGCCAGCTGAAGAGGACAGCACCAAATAGAACAAAGTGGAGATGTGTTGTTGAAGCTCTATGTTCCACTCGAAACCCAAGAGAGTAATAATAATAATAATAATTTGAACATCATGTTTATCAGGATTCGATCAATACGTGATATAGATAGTCAATAAAATATAAATAAATAAAAACCCACCTGTTTCAATTTCTTTTTTCGTTTATTCTGATGACGAGCTTTTTCGCCCCTTTCTGTCCCATTTATATCATCATTGTCAACATCATCACCATCACCTTGATCAGAACTACCCTCCTCCTCAGCATCTTCAGAATCTTGAGCTTCCGGTAACACCTTTCGACGAACTTTTTTACGTGATGAAGAAGACGGTGTTTCTTTTGAGATCTTTTCAACCGGTCGTAGATCATAGTCTTCAGTTTCAGAGACATCATCATTGTGAGCTAGATCGAAGACCTCTTCTTCGTCTTCATCCTCTGTGAGTTCATGATTCCCATCGACAACATTCGTCTTATCATCATCATCATTGGATGTTAAGCCTAAAAGTGCTAAGCGAACTTCAGCTGGTGGCAGCTTTTTCGGTCGATGACGACGAATTCTAGGGACAGTGGGTGCAGGCGGTTCTGATTCTGGATCTGAACTAGCCGCTGTACTTGCACCACTTGACGAAAGGACTAGATATTTGGAAAGCTAAATGTATAAAGTGCAAAGAGAGAGAGGTGGGGTGGGGAACAAGGTGTTAGAATCCGTTTCAAATCAATTTCAACTACAATATTGGCAGTGGAAAATTATGAATTGGTGCTTCACGCCTATCTAATTCAAACTGAATTTGCTTCTGTGCTTTACATATTTCAAAGTGAATACTCTCTGTTACCAGTTCGTATATCCCGAGGAACCCCAGTCAGCCAGCTAGGCTCAAGTCAACATTCAAAGACCTCATGGATCCAACTAAGCTTCATACATTGCCTAGTTAACGAGCAATTTGACCCTACTTGGGGTCCAAAAAAACGAAGAGTTCTGGGATGTTTGGAGTTTGAAAGAATCAAGATTGAACTGTGCTTGTGACTACCGTTATTTTTGTATTCCTTCACGTTCCTAGTGATGGAACATAGGGCGTCTTCAAGCTAGACGCTTGAAGTTTCTATAGCGGTGGTGTTGATTTTTACGCGATGTGGTTGCTAGCCGTATGCCCAACCTTCTGTCTTTGCCAGCAAGGTAAAAGGGTCTGTCGGCCGGGGATCGAACCCCTGATCACATGAGGCGTGTTCGACGACCATTCTACCACTGTGCCACAGACGTACACGTGACTGTTTTATTCCTAGAATATTTTTTAATATTCCAGTCTACCTAAAAACATGCATCACCACTTTAATAACCTCCGTTCATTACTCTAAGCAGAACTACAGGCGACCTGACCACCAAGTTACAGTGGATCATGCTAAAACGTTACCCAGATGTGTGAACAAGACTGACTCGAATTGTGTGGGCGGTTGTTACTTCCCAAGCTGTTTACACCGTGGAAATTGATTTATTCTTCGGGTACCTGAAACTGAAAGAGAATCAGTGTTGCGTGACCGCAGGGTCTAGGGGATAACTCCTTGGGGCCTATCACACACGACCTGTTTGAACTAGCTTTTCGGTTTCGCTCCATAGTAGTAACTTACCGCCACCTATGGACCACCATAGGGTAAGTCGCGATGTACAGTTTATGGGGTCGACCTTTCCTAACCCCTACTCTCAAGAGTGGAGAGACAGCATAGGTGGCTGGCATGCTCGTCATCTGAGAGAGGGAAACACCTTACTGTTGTGACATCCCTGTTCCCCAGCAGTACAACTTTGCCCACAGAACACCAGCGTAGTGTAAAAAAATCTTACACTACACCGGTAATTGCTTTTAGTTCAATCGCTATCCTAACCATCTTCCTGGCATGGTATACAAGTGTCCAATCAAAATACCCACTACAGTCCTACGAGAAGTCAATCACGAGCTCGAATAGCTCAGTGGTAACGTCTTTAACTGCAGCACTGGGTGACGCGGGTTCGAATCCCAGAAAGGACATGAGTTCCTTCAAGGCAGTTGCAGACACGCCTTGCTGACGAGTGCCAACTAGCACGAAACCTAGGTCCAAGGCTTCCTACCAATTGCCTGCAACTATCTAATGGTGTAACCATGCTGATATATGTGTTAAATTAAAGCAAAGTCCATCCCGAGGACCGCAAACAGCCAGTCAGGATGTCTACACCTCCCAACGTGCCTGGCTGGCTGGCTTAAACTAACTGTTATGGATTTGTTTCATTGACTGATGAAGCTTTGTTTTGGAATAACCACCACCACTAGTTCACTCTTTTCCAACCAGATCCATCCTATGTCAGCAGCTAACATTGCCCGTTGTCGGGGAAGGCGACCGATAGATAGGTATGTGTAGCAACACATGTCCTAACCATCTCTCTCCATTCATGTAACTTCACAACACAACCTCGTCGGTTGATTTCCCCTCCAACTCACCTAGCACCCGACTGAGGCCTAACCTTAATATTTCTCACTCTATTATACCACGCCACCTAACACGTAAGAGAGATAGATCGCAGACACCTATGATCAAAGACTGCCAGCTAGCCAGGCTTTTCATGCTTTCCACTTCCAATGGCCATGTGTCTCTCATAGCCATAAAGGAGGACAGAGAGAAATGCTGAGCAGTGCACACGCCCTCTCATAGACAGTCAGCCAGCCGGATATCACGTTTACTAAGCGAGAGTTAGCGTAAGTTGGCAGGTAATTGCCAAATTGATATATACACAGGTGACTCATTAATATTCATTATTTATTTCACACACTAGCATAATCATTGATTTCCCGCATCTGCGTGATTATTGATTTTAATTACTGAATTCCCATGGTTTGTTAATATTTTTAAAATGTGACATTGATTTTCCTAACTGTATAAATACGGAGTTGTTGTTTAACATTTTCGACTGCTGTAAGAGACAGTAAAAGCTCTCGTATCAACGTCCAGTCTTCTCTTTTCTTTGTCTTGCGTGCCCGGCGGTATTATTATTGTTGTTGTTGACGTGCGATTAGGACAGATTAGCCAGCGCATTTGTTAGATTCGCTCGTAGTCTACCAGGTCCTAATATCTCATACATAACACAAATGAGCCTTCTGTATCCTTGATAAAATTTCGTCAGCGATCAACCCGTTGGCGTTGGCTGATGCAACTTGCCAAATAAGTCAAGTGGTCAACATGCTCAGCCACCACTTCAATCCCTACATTTAAGCTAGAAGTGAGTTGACGTAGTTCAGTCTAATCCTGTAGTATCATCTTACATTTGACAGGAGCGAATCACATGCCAAACATTCGAAGGTTGCCCACTTCTCAAGATGTTCAGAAGACTCTGCTTCGTTTTGTCAGAGTCCACCTAGGAGGGAGGACTATATCATCCGTATATTCTAAGTCAACGAGGCTACTACTCCATGGTGGTAACAAGTCGATCCCTGAGTTGCTCAAGTCAGTTAGGGTTAAATCCATTAGTACATCTATGATGTACTTAAACAGAAATGGGGACAGTGAGAATCCCTAATGGACACCACTTCAGATGACAACTCTCCGTAGGCTCTCATCTGGCTGACTGCATGAGTCCGAGTAGAGTGCCTTGATCAGTGAGCGATGTACTTTCTCGGCATCTCCTTCACAGCCAAATATCGCCATAGTATCTCTCGGTCGACAGTATCGAACTCTGCTTTCGGGTCAAGAAACATAGCGATCGTTGGACGCCATTAAGTAGAACGAACCATGGAGTACTGGACAGCTGTTTTCCCCTAGTTTTGGGACTCTCCAGTAGGGTGCACACCCAAGACCACATCACGGATCAAATCAGGGACCTTTAGGTTACAACACAGAGCTTGTTGACTATCCAGACACTTGGGACGGGATTCGATGACTTGTGAATTCTAACTGCTGTCAATTCATGATATAGTGTCCCCATCCCTCAACCAATGCCTTCAACTAGTATCCACACTTCACAATCCCATTGGTAGATCCCACTAGTTACGACTTCCATCCACCAGCCATCAATGAGATGGAGACTAATATTTAGATTATGGATCAGTTTTTGTAGGAATTTGGATCAATTTCAATGATCTTTCTAACCGATGTTAGTTCGCAACGAAATTCACGTTGAAACAATAGTGTGGTGAGAGCTGGTTGCAAAAAAGCCGAAATTGTAGACAGAAACTTACGTCAATGTTACGTCCCGAATCAGGGTCATGAGAAAAAAGCACAATAACAAAGCTTAACCTTAAGGAACTCACTAACCAATCACAGCAGACTTAGCGTGTGCAAATACGATTCGCTGGCCTCACTTTCTAAGGAACGGTCACAAGCAGTACGGAACAACCTTCGGCAAGAAAACAACCAATCAGAAAACGTTGCTTCTCCGCTGACAATAATTAACATAAAAATCTATAAATATCTATTGATTTTCGCAATAAGCAATCTGTTGCCTGGTCCTTGTCTTCTGTCGTTACAATAGTAATAATAACAACAATAACATATATCGAAAGTTTTTGCTTACTTCATCTCTATGCTCAGTTAATGTTGTCTTTGGATCAACATCTGCACGAAATTGATCCCGTAACCAATTAGTTCTTTCAGCTGGTGTTTTATCCCATGTTATACCAATACGTGTTGAATGTAAAGCACTTGTTTCAAATCGAAGAGGATTATACTTTGCCTTGTTAATTTCACGACATTCACTTACTAAGTGAGCGTATTCAGCAGGTACCTGAGAGATAAAGAAAGAAAACATAAAATACCTGCACTTGACAACAACAACAAAAATTTAGAAACAGTGAAACAATGAATATATGATTATGAACAATAAATTGTGTTCGAAACGTCATCCAGTAAATAATACTGTTTCACTGTGTGATATATCCAATAAACAAACTAATATGAAACAATGAATAGTTGATCTGTTAAGCGAAGATCGTGGACGTGGTGGCCTAGTAGATAGTACTCACTCGCATGCATGACCAGGTATTGTCGATCGTGGGAAAACTTCGATCCTTCCCTCGAAATGCCCTTTCGTGTGGCTACACATTCATAGTCTCAAGCAGGTAAGTCTTATTTATAGCCTTCACGACGTCAGGGAAGGGATGTTCCCCATAACAGTGAAAGGGTGAATCAGGACGTCTGGCGCTTACAACTGGACTCGTAGACATGCAGGTCTGTCAAACGGGGCTGGGAAACCCCGATTCCACACATATGGGTGTAAATGGGATCCAAAATCCGAACGGATTGAATAGCGTATGAACTTGTTTTGCTCACCAGGAACCATGAGAAGGCAGCTCTACTGCCTTGTGGATCATATTTCAAGTCAAAGGCTTGTCCGGGTGTGGCCCCTTAATACAACCACCTGAGTCAGTCTGGGTGTTCGGGCAGAGTGACCCAATTCTCTTATAAACGATGAGATTTTGTATGGTGCATTACTTGGTGCCCAATAATGTACCAAATTAGTATTTCAGTATATAATAAAGCAACGATATGCTGTACTATTCACTGTGTTGCCAAGTACATATGCATCCATATCCTAGAATCGAATTCATAAAATGTAAATTACACGAATTGAGGTGAGAAATCGCCAAAACTCCATACGACAATATGTGATCTGTTCAATATCCATAAACGATAATCAAGAAAGTGAACGATTTAAGTAAAAAACTTGGGCAGTGTGGTAGAGTATAACTCCATTATGGATAAGATTTTATTTTGATAAAGTCTCACACAGTCTAGTGTTATACCGTAATATGAACTGATGACCACCTGTCGAGCACAAACTATTGCCACTCATAATCATATCAAGTCACTCACTCACACAACTTTTTACTTCATTTATATACATGAGTGGAATTGATTGGACCTTTGAATAAAAATTAATATAAGATAAAGTACATTCAGAAATAATAATGATATGAGTGTTATCAATCAAATACAATCAGATGGGAAATAAGACGAGTGTTTCTTATAGTTAACATACATAACTTGTTAGAATGTTATGATGTACGTGAATTGAATTGGAATAGAATTTTAAGGTTATTTATCATCCTCTGAATTGACTGGTGGTAATAATATCTTCCATATCTGTGACATTTAGAGTCATGTGTTGGGTGTAGACTCGATGAACCAGGTAGGATTCAGTAACCAATCTCTTTCGCTCTCCACCTACCTAGATTACTTCTTAGAATTTTAACCGTCTCCCGCCCTATTGTGTAGTTGTGTGTTAATGCATGTAGTGCAATTTCCGGGCTGTTTTCTAAATTACTCATCTATCTTCGCAGGGTCAATCATTCTTACCTTAGCCACTAAATTCTTATGTTCTGACAATCTGACTACCCCGAAGCTACTAGTTTGACCTATGTAGTTGACCCAACTCACAGTCATTGCAAGGTATTTTGTAAATTATATTATTTTATCTAATTCGGTCAACAGGGTCCTTTAACCTACAGAACTTGTCCCTGAGTGATTTTGTAGGTTTAAATGCCACCCTAATTCCTGCTTTATTGAGAATCCTGCACGTAGGGTCTCCTTATAGATATTTAGACTTTAATTCATCTCATCCGTTGTCTGTAGAGGCTGGCTTAGTTGAATGTCTAACATACCGAGCAGTAGCACTAAGTACTGCAACAAAAAACCTGAGTGATGAAATGAAACAGATATACGAATAGCTGGTTGGTGTTGAATAACTAACTATCCTATAAAATTCATTAGGAAGATCAGGAAAGGTCAGAAGCAAATAAAAATAATGGTGAAACTAGTGATGATAACATAAATAAGAGAGAATATAAGTCATCTAGAGTTATACGATATTAGGAGGGGATATCTGAGACGAGACCCTACGTAGTATTCTCAATAAAGCAGGAATTAGGGTGGTATTCAAACCTACAAACTCACTCACGCAGGACAAGCTCTGTTGGTTAAAGGATCCTGTCGGTTGACACAATTAAACAAAATAATATAATTTACAAAATACCTCGCAATGACTGTGAGTTAAGTCAACTACATAGGTCAAACTAGTAGATCAGGGGTAGTGAGATGATCAGAACATAAGAATTTAGCTAAGGTTAGAATGGTTAATTTAGAAAAAAGCTCAACGATTGCACTGCATGCATTAACAAACAACCACACAATAGGGTTAGAGGGACATAGTCAAAATTCTAAGAAGTAATGTAGGTAGGTGGAGAGCATCGAATAATCCACGCCCAACACATGCTACAGAAATGATACAATGCAAATGCCAGAGATAAGCATGGAAGATATCATTACCACCAGTCAATCAAATCAGAGGAGGATAATAAATAACCTTAAAATTCTATTCCAATTCAATTCACGTACATCATTGCATTCTAACAAGTTACTTATTTTGACTATAAAAACACTCGTCTTATTTCCCATCTGATTGTACTTGATCAATAACACTCATATTATTATTTCTGAATGTATATTATCCCATACTGATTTTTATTCAAATGTCTATTCATCAATTCCACTCATGCATATAAATGAAGTAAAAAGTTGTGTGAGTGAGTGACTTGATATGATTATGAGTGGCAATAGTTTGTGCTCGACAGGTGGTCATCAGTTAATATTACTGTATAACTACACTGTGTGATTTGATCAAAATAAATTTTATCGCCAACGGACTGTAAGTGGTTATCGAATAACAGTTTCACTTATTTTCTGACCTAATCCCACTTTCTAGTGGTGGCTAGATTTACACAGGTTTGTTGTCAGAAATAATAAAATCGATATGGTGCTTACTACTGATTGTTATGAGTAATTACAGAAATGATTCACATCGACAAACAATGCTTACTATGTGGAACTCTGTACAGCTGAACACACCAAGCGATCGTTGGTATCTGAACTGGTCATAATGATTTCGCTGAAGCAACTGAATTAATTTCAATTCTAGCCAGCTACCAGGACGTCCACAAAGCATAAGCAGTACGGAGTTCGAGTAGGCAGTGAGCTAGCCAACAACCCATTGCCAGAAAAATAACCAAAATGAAATGGAGATGGCTTAGACATATGTAGAGGAGACCATTAAGGGACAACACACGTACAGCAGGCGCCCTCAAGTAGAACCCGAATGTGAAGCAACAAGTTGAACGTGTAGAAGAAATTAAACTTTGTGGGGCAGTCATGGAACCAGATAAAAAAGACAGCAGTGAACAGAATACAATGGACATGTAGGGTCGAAGCCTTATGGGCCAAGTTAAACTTTAAGCACCACTAACTAACTACCAATGCAGTGCGACCGCACCAACGACCTTGAAACACTCAATGAGCAAGTTAGTGAAACCTGACACATAATTTTGTCATTATCAATTTAAACAATGCTCATCGAAGTGTTAGATTATTAAATGGGATATCTGGCAAGTTTCAGCTTAGGTTTGAGAAAGAATTAGTTACGGTTTAGGCCAAGGACAAGTTACGGTTAGGTTAACCTAATAAAGGCGACATTAGGGTTGGTTCGAGTTAGATTACAGTTAGTTTAGAGATATTTTCACGTTATGGTTAGGTTCAGGAAAGATTAGGGTTATGGTTAGGGTTAGAAGACCTAAATAATTGCATGCATAGAATGTGGTTAAATTACTCTGTTAATATAAGAACAGAACTTGTGCATTGTGGTAGGGTATAATTCCTTTATGGGGTGTCATTCAGTAATATTTACTGATGACGATGTTTCGAGCACAGTTTATTACCCAGTAAATATTACTGTATAACACACTATGAGAATTTATCAAAATAAATTTTACCCACGATGGAATTATACTCTGTTGATACTCCAACCTAAAACTGTGAGCTATTTTGATCACATGTGAGAGGAAGGTATCCTCTGTAACACTTTTCTACAGTTTTTATGCATTTTTTCCCGTAAATATATGTATTCCATACACAAAAATGCCTCCTTCACGTGATTGATGCGTTCGAGGTCATTTGCTGATTGGTAGTTAGTTAGTGGTGCTTACAGTTTAACTTTCCCGCCTTATGCTCCATTCGGAACCCAAGGGAACAATAATAATAATAATAATAACGATAAATAACAATGGCAATAATAAATGTACCCACTTCAAAAGTTTGATCATTATCAACAAATCTCAGATCCAAACGTGAACCAGAACTCTCGTACTCAAGACCATCACAAGCTTCGTATATTGCTTCAGCTGTTTCAACACTATCAAATTCAATAATAGCATAGAAATATTTCAGCCTGGCCAACTGATATTCACGAATACGACGTCGAAGTTTTGACGAGGCTTTACGCCAGCCAGATTTTTCATCAACATCAACAGCCATAGTTGAATTGTCTTCAGTTAAATTATTACAATGATTGTTATTATTCTCATTTTCATTGCATTCAGTGTCTGACTCACTGGGACGTAGTTCAGGTGGTCCATGAATAGCCTCCTCAGCCATACGTTTAATACCGAATTCGGATGGATAAATCTTATTTATTTAAATGCAGAAAGAAAAAAACTTGATACAATATGGCACCAAGAAAGATGCGCCACACAATAATAATAATAAAACAGCAGAGATCAAAAGTAAAACAGACTACTCTATATGAACCTACAGTTCAATGGAGACCAATCTACAGAAATACTGAGAAATCGGCTCTCCCGCTCACTGAAGAAAACCTTCTCTGCAGCTGAATTACGACTGACGTCCTCCACGAGACCAATGATCCGCATGAACGTGAAGGATAAGCTACCGCTGTTGGCCTCATCTATGTGCATCTACCAATTCACCTGCTCGTGTGGAGCCAGGTATATCGGCCGTTCGCTATCCAAACGCGTCAACGAACATTTACCTTTATGGTTTTATAAAGGAGAAAACCGATGCCCCCGCAGCTCGATCCTTGAACATTTGATCGACTCTGGACACCAAGTCAAACCACATATAAACTTCAAAGTTATCCACAGAAAACAAGGCAATCTTGCTAAAAGTGTACGGATCAAACTTCTCCACATCGCAGAAGCAATGGCAATTCATCTGCTAAGTCCTGAACTCTGCATACAAAAGAAATTCGTTCATTCATTAAATCTACAATGGACGTAATCTTTCTTAATTTCAGTCTTACTAATTGTATTATTTTGTCTTTTGCATTTTATTATTTCACATCTTCATTTATATTATTCTCTACCCCACCCTTTTGTAATCTCTACCCTCATTAACAATGTTGCTAACTCGACCCACGTCCAATTTCTAGTCAACTATATTACGTCATCCGATTAACTTACTTAATTTTCAACTGTATTATTCTCTACCCCCACCCTGATTTAATTTTAACCACCACTCATTAACACTGTTGCCAACCTGATCTACTCTGAATTCTACTCAATTGTATTACGTCATCTAATTCACTTGATCAATTTTATTTTATTTTCTATCTAATTAACGTTTGTTTCCAAGCCAAACAATACTTATATTACGTAATTATCTAAACTTTATAAATCTAATGTACACACACACACAAAAAAAATTGTATTTAAATGCGATTGTACAGCTCAGTGAATGAATTCGCCGGAAAGAGTCTCTTCGCTGAACGCCTTCTTTTCTTTTATACGACTGAATGGGGATTTTCAAGTTACTTAAAAAATATAAGTAGAGAACGGGTAAAGAACTTCACCTGGAAGGAAAACATTCATACTTAACAAGTTCAAACAGTATTTATTCGTCAACTATCATCGGGAGGGAGGAAGAAAGAAGGAAACTGCAACACGTTCGCCATTGGTGACTGCGATTCTTGGCCATATCCGATAACGTTTCGAGCCATCGATTTGGGCTATCTCGCGGACCCCAACCAGAGAGTCGTGACGCACCAACCGATGCTAATCTAGCACAAACATCCTTCATCCCACGACGCCACGGTCAGGGAGTGACCACCCCTCCGCCTTTTCCATCCCGTCCCACGGCTGACTAGCGAACAGAGACCTGTACCGAAGCCTCTGGGATGACATTCGCAGCACATGTTCAAGCCACCGGAGCCGGTGTTTCCAGATGACAACACTCAATGAATGGTGATCTCCACTGTGTTCAAACACACGCCGCCGAACCTCAGAATTACTCACGAGATGATGCCTACTTACGCCATCTCTAGCTTCGTAGACGAGATATCCGGCTGGCTGTCGACCAAAGGGCGTATGTACTGCTCAGCAGTCACTTCCATCCGTCCTCCTTTATGGCTGGCTGTGAGTGAGACGTAGTCATTGAGAGTGGAAGACATGTAAAGCCTGGCTAGCTGGCTATCTATGATCATAGATGCCTGCGTTCTATCTCTTGTGTGTGTTAGGTGGCATAATAGGGTGAGTAATATTACGGTTAGGCTTTGGTCGAGTGAGTGCTAGGTGAGTTGGAGGGGAAATCAATCGACGAGGTTGTGAAGTTACGTGGATTTGGAGAGATGGTCAGGACATGTGTTGCTGCGCATGCCTAGCCATCGATTGCCTTCGTCGACAACAGACAATGTTGGCTGACTGACATAAGATGGATCAGGTTAGTAGTCAAACCAAAACATGACTTCATCAGATAATGAAATCCCCAACAGTTACTTTAAGCCAGCCAGCCAGCCAGACACGTAAGGAGGTGTAGACTTCCTGATTGACTGGTTGAGGTTCTCAGGATAGTAAGAACCAATGGCGGTGGCTGGAGACAGTTGGCGATATGGTTCAAAATCCTCGCTGTCAATGACAGAGAAGATGCATTGACTCTTTTATTTATACTACCCGATTAAATCCATATCACTATTTTTTATGCCATACATTTCTGTTTATTATCTCTCTCTTTTTCGAACCTCCTTTACTCTCTTCTCTTGCTTTGTATGGTACATGGAGGGAGAGTGGCAACTGCCCGTCTGTTTGTTTTCGACATAGAACTTTGCACCATGGTGCGGCAGTTCGAGTCGTCACACTCCATGTAGCACACAAAGCATGAGAAGAAAATAGAAATGCATAATAGAGACAGTAAGATGAGGTGTGAGACAAGGGAGTAGTAACAACGAAGAACAATATAGTTTCATTGGAAATCATAAGTCACAAGGAGTGGATGCATCTGCAGCAGCCATTGAGAACGGTTTTGAGCCATGTCACCAATTGTCTCCAGTCATTCGTTTTAACCGTCCCGAGGACCCCAACCAGTCAGGAAGTCTACACCTTCCTACGTGGCTTAAACTAACTATTGTGAATTTCATTGACTGGTGCCATGTTTTCGTTTGACCGCCGCTAGCTCTTTCCCAGCTTGACCCTATGTCAGCTAACATTGCCCGTTGAGGTAGGCGATGACTAGGCATACGTAACACATGTCCTAAATCGAACTGCTGCACATCTGTGCAAAGTCCTACGTTGAAACCAGTCAGTCAATCAGATACAAAAGACAGTTATGTCTGTTAAAAAAAATATATCTTTGACCTTTTGACGTAAGTAGTACAACACAATACACCAGATAAGAAGAAGAATAGACTACATCAAGGGATAATAGAGTGACTTCTACCCTCTCTCTGTCTCTCTAAATTAACCTATTTCTAAACAAATGATACAACATTATGCGAAAGTAATTTTTCTTAAAACAAAAACAACTAAAAATTCATGAGATACAATTTTAAAAAAATCGATGATAACTTACAGTAACTTTTTCAATATGTCCTCTAGCAGGTAAAAATGATTCAAGAACCATGTAAATAGTCTCTGGTTTAGCATTATCCCAGTCGAAATGAAGCAAGGCTAATCGATGAGTTGACTGGCTGGTGGGAACAGAATCTTTTGTCAACTCATACCAGTCAGCACCTATGTGAAGATGACAGGAGCGGAAGCGAGGGCGGGGGAGGAATAGAAGACATCCAAAAAGTATGGATAATAAACAAATTTTAAAAAAGAATATTTGTAGAAGAAAGTATTAACGAAATGTCGGTTACACAGTTTATGAGTAACCTTTTTTACAAATGACTCGAATTGGAGCTATGGCTTATTGGTCTAGAGTGCTCAGTTTCAAACCATTAGGGTACGGGTTAGAACCCCTCTCTGTCTAAGAAGGTTTAAGCAGCCATGTAAGGTAACTATTCCCTATACAACAGGTGTGATTCATTGTCGACTTTACGGCGGATCCAGGAGGTTGCTGAGAAACACAATAAACCCACAAGACTGCGTCGGTGGCACAGTGGTTAGGACTCTCGCCGACCATGCACATGGTCCGGGGTTCGATCCCCTGCCGGCGCACACCCGATATCTATGGTCGGCCTGAATTTGGGCTACCAATATCCATGCTGAAAATTCCACACTTGTACTGAAAATACGGTGTGGAATCAAGCTGTAAATCAAAAATAAATCAGATGCGTACGGCAAATAACTTTGCTCATCCATTGGTATGCCCATAGATTAAAGAGGGGATAATGGAAAAACAGCATGGAATTGTGATCCTGATATTTTTTTTTATTACACGTTAAATCATGTCTGTCTCATTAAACTACAGAAATATCATCTATATGACTCATGTTAATATATGTGTAAAACTTGGGCACTGAGGTAGTAAGTAATTCCATATTACAGGATTTCATCATGAGGTGACATTGGTTAGAGAACCATTGGAAAACCTGGGAGTACTGGACAGCTGTTTCGTCCGCCTAGTTTGGGACTCTTCAGCAGTAGCACCCACCGACGGGGTTCGAAGCCAGGATCTTCTGGTTACAAGGCGAGCTCGTAGATCTTTGAGCCACTGGGACCCGATCTAATGGCTCACGAATTCTAAATGCTGCCAATTCACGAAATAGTGCGTACTGATGAAGAGTCCCAAACTATGACGAAATGGCTGTCCAGGTTTTCCAAAGGTTCTCTAACCAATGTCACCTCATGATGAAGCCCTGTAGCCGATCAAATCCCCACAAACCAACACTTTAATTCTATATTAGTTTGTTCATTAGATATATATCACACAGCGAAACAGTATTATTATTTACTGGATGACGTCTCGAACAAAATTTATTGTTCATAATCATATCGCCAATTATAGTCACACGACTTCGAAACTTGAGTTTATAGTCTTCTTTATTCTTTCCTATTCGTCGGTGTAAGTGTAGTAGAATTTTCCAGATATCTGGGACAGGTGTTGAATCATTCCTATTACACGTAATCTCCTCAGTCGATTCGATAAATGAAGCTTCCTTTATCAATATAATTCATAAGTTATGGTGGACATACGTGGATGACACATTCCATCACTGTGTTGAAATCTGAACATATTCCTCACTCGCTCGTACATATTAAGTCAGGCTGAAAAAGAGTCAGTAGTGGTCAAACCAAAATATGGCACCAGTCAATGAAATCTACAACAGTTAATCTAGGCCGTGTAAGAAGGTGTAGACTTCCTGGTTGGGGTCCTCGGGACGGTAAAAACCAATGGCTGGAGACAACTGGTGAAATGGCTCAAAATCTTCGTTCTCAATGGCTGGTGCAGATGCATCCACACCTTGCGAATTATGATTTCCAATGAAACTATATTGTTCTTCGTTATTACTATTCCTTTGTCTTACACCTCTGTTTACTGTCTCTATTATGCATTTCTACTTTCTTCTCTTGTTTTGTGTGCTACATGGAGGGAGTGTGATGACTTGAACTGCTGCACATCGGTGCAAAGTTCTATGTCGAAAACAGACAGGCAGATAGCCATTAAGTCAATAGTAAACGGAATCCAATTCACTTCTGAGTAAGAAAACAGACAGGGTGAGTTGGCCATGCTAAACTAGACTGTAGAATAAAACGGAAACAAGATGGTGGGAGGTTAGATACTAGCTAGCATTTATAGGAAACCGACACACTCCAATAAATACTTGGACTTTAATTCACCCCATCCAGAATCGGTAAATATTGGCTGAGTTAATTGTCTTTATAATCGGGCCAAGAGTCTAACTAGAAGGCCAGAAGATTTAAGTGACGAAATCAAACAAATAAAGAAAATATCACCAGTGAATAACTAACTACCCACCAGAATTTATTCAGAAATATATGAAGAACCATAGAAAGTGACGAAAATAACAAAAATAATATAGAATACAAAGCCTCTGTAGCACTACCGTATAAAGAAGAGACGTCACAGGCCTCATGTAGGATTCTAAATGAGACTGGAATTAGTCACGATGGCATTTAAACCAACCAACCAAATCTCTCACAGATAAACTTTGTTTATGGGCTCAAACAATCGCCCGATAGATCCTACTAAGGAAAATAATATAATTGACCAAATACCATGTATATGATGACTGTTAGTGAGGTCAGTGACATAGGCCAGTCAAACCAGTAGATCAGGGCCAGCTAGATTAATGGAACATAAAAAGTTAGCTAGACACCTAGAATGATTGACCCTACTACGTTAAATAACCTTGAAAAAACAGAGCTCAGCCATTGCATCTCAATGCATTCACTTGCATGTAATCACAAAATAGACTGGATGGGACAGGGTGAGAGTATTAGAAAGTAATATAGTTAGGTGGAGACAGAGAGAGGGGTTAATCACTGAAGCTTTGTTTATCGATTCAACACCACAAACGTGCAATCGGAATGACGCAACGCCTATACCGGGGGGAAGTTGGAGAGACAGAAAGAGAGGATATATATATATATATATAAGACAAACTGGAAGACATGCAAGCGAAAAGCAACAAGTTAGCAGAAGAGGCATCCAGAGAAGATAGGACTTCAGGTGAACATAGAGAAAACAGAGGTGATGAAAATTCCTGGGCAACACCACCAACAGCAACAACAACAGACAACAATCAGCATATATGGAAGGAACCTGAAAGATACAACCTCTTTTACCTACCCACCTACCTGGGGAGCATCGTCTCAACTACAGGCGGACGGAACTGACGAGGATATCAAAGCAAGAATCGGAAAAGCAAGACAAGCTTTCACTACTCTCAAGTCTGTGTGGAGGTCAAAAGCACTCAGCATCAAAAATAAGATCCGGATTTTCAACTCCAATGTGAAGTCAGTGCTACTAAATGGATCAGAGACTTGCACTGCGCGTCATAAAGAGCATCTCAAACAAACTACAGACCTTCATTAACAGCTAGCTGTCTTCGCTCAATACTACTCAAGATCAGATGGCCGGCCAGAAAAGATCAGCAACAGAGATCTCTGGCAATGAGCGAACCAACCAGGAACCGATTGTGAAACAAATAGGCAGGAAGAAATGGAGATGCATTGGCCACACTCTGAGAAAACAAACCATCAAGTGACATCACTAGACAAGCCATTCCTCGGGTGGAACCCGAAGTGGAAGCGGCGAGTTGGTCGTCAGTGCAAGGGTGACTTGGAGGAGGTCATGTGAAGAGGAGATGAAAACGTGTGGGCAGACATGGAGCCAGGTGAAGACTCTAGCAGAGAACAGAACGCAATGGAGACGCACGGCTGAAGCCCTATGTTCCTGTAGGAATTAAAGGATATAATAATAATAATATAATAATAAGACAAAATGTGAAAACGTGACTAAACTGATATGACTATGAGCAATAATTTATGCTCGAAACCTTGTCATCTAGTTGTTAATACCGTATCACTGTGTGATTATTAAAATAAACTTACCTAATATGGAATTCAAGGTCAACTGTCAAACATAAACAACAACAAAAACATTCTTCATCACACCCCTACGTTTTACTTTCTCTCTCTATACATCCTCTTGTCCATCAAAATGTCAAAACGTCCTCCACAGCTGACGTGGACATTAATTTCTGAGAAGATCAGCAAACTAAATACACCCAAGAACTGTAACAAACTAGCGAAACAGCTGTCACCTGATTCACTCTCCATCGTAATTACCTATAGACTTATGTACACGATAATATACCGCAATTGTCGCGTGGGTGCCATAGCATCATTTGAAATTATGAAGGCACGAAGATGTCCATATTCAAAAATTTATGGTTATAAGTCGAATGCTTACACTAAATGCTTTCACCAAAGTGAGAGGGCGAAAGCGGATGTCCGGCGCTCTTCACCGGGTTGACTGTCCATTGGATGACAGTCTAGGGGAGATGGCTAAACCCTGATTCCAAACCTCCAACGACTGGCGTATGAAGCTCACTGGAGTTCACCGGCAGACGTATGGACAAAGGGCTTGTTGGATGTCCTGGATGTCTGGCCCCATTCAAAAAGGCGTATGAACCGAACTCCGGTCACCGGCTGCCAATGGATAGTGGACTCCCTACTCCACTCCTACTGCCTTGTAGGTCACACTTGGTTGTGTAAAGGCTAGAGCTTCACTTTCAAACAAAAGGCCGAGCGATTCTGGGGACATCACTCGTATCAAATTCCCATGAAACTTCATGAACTCTCTTACATGGCTTGGTACAGTCAAGGCTGATATGGAGTGCCTGGGGCTACAAACCGTCTACGGACTCCGTCTGTGGAACAAGAATTGGATAACCTTGTCGCAAAACCTTGCATCAGATCGCCGCGCCTGGGCAGCGATCATTCGAGATGTTCATGAAGCCGGCTCATCCTCCCGTAGGAGATAGCCAAAGTAAAGTAAAAGTAAGTACTAAAACAATCACCAGCTCATCAGTATAAAATGTTGATGGTCGATATTGCAGTTACCAGTCACTCATATTACCTTCTCACATATTTCAGTGCGAAGAATATATTTTATCTCCCAAACAAGTCAAGTTAAATTACCTTGAAGATCTTCAATATCCTCGAAAAAATCAACTTCATTGCCATCATCACTGTCAGACGAGGTGTTTGATTCTGAATCCCTCGATCTAGAACTGTCACTACCATCACCGCCATCATCACAACTAGACTGTGAGTGTTCATCATCGATTCTTTCAGTTTTAGGCGCTAACTTCTGTTTCACATAAGCTCGTGGATTTTTAAACCATGGTCGTCCACGTTTATCTTTAAATGATGCTTCAGGACCAACATCGTTGAATAAATCTTTAACTGTTCTTGCTTTATTCGCCTTTTTACGTTTATTAGGAGCTAATAAAGGATTTTGAGAAATTTCTTCTAATCCTTTATTATCCATGATCCTAAAATTAAAAAAAAATATATTACAAAATAAAAAGTGTCAGGCATTGAAAGGTCAAAGATGTAATTCATTAAATGATCAGCGGTTTTACAAGATAACTAAATAGATTTCAATATTGCAAAAAGATTCATTTAGACATCTATAAAACACAAAATAATCGAGCAAAGAATATTCTTTTCGATAAATTCCTCTTCCAGGCTCTACAATTATATATACATATATGTTTATATACATAGAATATTCTAGAATAGTAGTCAATAACAATATTAGCGTTTTTTAAATAATATCGATTTGTAAAGTATGATCACAATGGAATTACAGTTCATTAAAGATGCTTAAATTATAATAATAATAGTAAAGATATAATAACGAATAGAATATCAACTAAAATTAGGGAAATTTCACAAAAATTCTGGATTATTCAAACCTGGATGGCCAAGGTAATGATAATGACTGAACTAACTTCTTTCGGGTGCATAAATTAGGCTTATTAATATGAATCCCCACAGCCTCAGCAATATTTAGAAGTCGAACTCTTAAAGCGAAATTGAGATTCGTAGGTATGCGGTGAATGACCCTGAAAGCATGATTAACATCAATCTTGTGTTCTGTCTCCACAAGATGCGCCAGAATAGCGCTGCGAATAGATTTTGTTTGACCTTTGCTTAACCAGGTAGGGTGATGTTCGGAAATTCGACGAGAAACACGCCTAATTGTACGGCCTATGTTACTGGCTTACTTCACAGGAGCAGCTGAATTGGTATATACACATGGAAGAGGCGAAATTAGGCAGTTTGTCTTTTATTCCCGAACGCAAAAGAGGAGTGGTTTTAAAGATATAGCGTAACTGAGCAGCAGGGAATGCTCTTTTTACCGCATTTCTGAGGCGATGTATTAGTATCTCACTTGTGTTGTCTCCTAGGAACTGCATCTGTAAGAACAAGGCTTTCTTTGGAACTGTTGGTAACTTGAACTGTTTTGGTTTTAGATTCATATTCTTATCAATAAACTTTTCGGGATAACCATTCTCACTTAGCAACCGTTTAATATTGTTAAGCTCCTGGTCAGGACATTCATCCGAGCAAATCTCTCTTGCTCTGTGTACCAAGCACTTTATCAGATTGCGTTTGTATTTCAAGGGCACAAAGCTGAGAAAATGTGTGTACTGGCCCGTTGATTTAGGTTTTCTATATACACTTTTTCTTATTGTGCCATCCTCTTTTCTGGTCATAAGGACGTCTAGAAATGAAATACTAGAGTCTTTTTCTTTCTCAATAGTGAAATTTATTGCAGGATATACCTCATTAAATTTATCCAGGATGTTCTTTGCCTCCTTTTCGTTCTTCATAATCAAAAAAGTACTATCCATGTATCGACAATAAAATTCGAGTTCATTAATAACATCCTTCAAAGGCCCATTTTCTAGTTTCACCAGGAAAATGTCGGCTAGAATGGGTCCTAGTGGCGACCCCATTGCCAGCCACACCGTCGATTTGTCTATACAGTTCCTTATAAAAAATAAAAAGTGGACATTCATTGTACATTTCAAGAGAAGCTCCTTCATGAAAGATATAGAAATGCCAACCTCAATGTTTCGTTTTTTGAGTTCTTCACATATAAAGTCCACTGTTTCCACGCTAATATTGTTATTAACTACTAATTTAAAATATTCTGTGTATATAAACATACAGATATATAATTGTAGAGCCTGGAAGAGGAATTTATCGAAAAGAATATTCTTTGCTCGATTATTTTGTGTTTTATAAATAGATTTCAAACTGATAGGGGAATTAGTAAAACCTTGTTTTCCGGATGTGTTATTCGTTCAATAAACTTGGAATTTAAGATATGCGCGTGTGCGGTGTTGAATCGATAAACAGGGTGTAAGTATAAAAGGCAATATAATTAGGTGGAGAAAGGGAGGTTAATCACAGTATCTGTGTTTATCGATTCAACACCTTATACGCGTAGTGGAAATGATATGGAAAGTTGCAACAAACAACAAAGACAAGATGTATACGTAATAGGGAAGGCAGTATTGAAGCAACAGGTGGAAGCATGATACTCTATGGTTTTATATGGCATGAAAGCATGACTGAAGAAGGACACAACGATGACCAAAAACAAACTGGTAATCTCTTTCACCGAAGTTTCATCCTTATCTCTGGATAAGGCAGTGTTAGGTCATTCAGTTCGGAAGTTTAACTATCCTCTGGAAATTCACGCTACCTTTGAATCTTAAGTTCGACAAATTCGTTAAATGCAACCCTAAAGGAATTTTTCTAATTGACGTCACCGATGCAGTCGACCAGTTGATATTCATTTCGAGACGCTCTCCAAGACAATATAGGAGTCTGAAGACTCCTGAAAGACAATCTTACTGATGTGAGGCATCTGTTAAATCCGTTCGCCATGTAACTTCTTATATTCCAATGATAACCTAAGGTTTAAAGTGTTCGTAACTCTAGTAGCAGATGGGAAGTTATAAATAGAATACCCAAATGTTATTGGGAATTATTTTAGAAAACTTATAACAGGAGTGACTGCTCTTTGATAACTGCACGAGGACGAGTAAAAAGTTAATTTCGCTCATTGTACGTCGGTGGCATAGAGATTAGGACTCTCGCCGACCATGCACATGGTGCGGGGTTCGATCCCCAGCCGACGCACACCTCATATCAATGTTTGGCCTACAAAATTTGGGCTACCGACACCACATGCCGAAAATTCCAAAACTTTTACCATAAGTACTGTGTGGAATCAAAATAATAATTTAAAAAACGCCAATTCAAAACAAAGATTACGTAGGAAACGTCCAGTAGACTAAATAAGGATTACTGGCCATATGACCCTATATTAGATACGTGATTCATTAAGAGATAATAAAGACAGATGGTTAATAACTATTCCATCCCAGATTTTGATTTTTTTGATGAAGTTAAACTACCATAGCCGAAGTCAAAGTCTTGCAGCGGTAAATAATTCCCCAAAATTATTGACCACAGCAATCATCACTCAACATTGGATGCTGACCCTCACTGTTTAAGTCGACTTGTTTAGCTGAAGGCTTCCGGTCAAGCATCCCCGCCATTTGGTACTCCGTCGTGTCACGTGCGTGCACGATTACTAGCTAGCTAAGCATTCACTTCTACCCGCGATTTGGTCCCGAAATATAATACGTACTTTGGACGACTAAATCTGGTCTTTTGCTTTATCTTTGGTACTCGAAGTGCGAACACTATAGAAGTTGTTGGTATAAGATCTTGCGTTAGTATAATCCGTACAACTCGCGAACGTCGATACCTGCAACCTCTAAACTGGTGAGCCCAACCACGAACTTCATCTTCAATTCACACGCAGATAAACCCGGTGAGTTCGTTCCTTTTTGTGTTTGTTCTTGTACTCCTTTGTAATCGGCATACTTTTCGTCATGACTGATCCTAGCCCCAAGGTTATTCGTATTCGCTCAACCGCCAAAACAATTCAGCTCGTACCATATTGGCCAGATAATGCTGAAACGTGGTTTCAGATAGCTGAGTCTGATTTTTGTGAACATGGCATAACCGATCAACGTTCACAGTTCCTTGCAGTTATTCACGCCCTACCGCGGGAATTCAGCAGGTGCGTAACTCTGCAGATGTCGGGTCCAGAGGTAAGTAACTCGTACGAGTTGCTCAAAGCATCCCTCCTCAAGAGAAACGTTCTCACGGATCGACAACGTCTGGATGAATTATTTCGTAACATCGAGTTAGGGGATCAGTCAGCCGTGAGCATGCTGGCAAGAATGAAAGAGATTATTGGCCAAAGTCAGTTCGACGAAGGACTGTTCAGAGAACTATTTTTATCCAAACTGCCACAGTCAGTTCAGACTGTACTTGTGACACTTCAGGGTGTTCTCATGGATGACTTAGCTGTCTCTGCAGATAGAATTCTAGAGATAACGAAACGGCCAGTTACCGAAGTATACTCAGTTACCGAACAGACTTCGAGTAAGGATTCTGCAATGATAGAGTTATGCAACTCCATCCAGCAGATGCTTAGGTCAAACAAGCCTAGCAATTCCTCCTACCGTCGTTCTAAATCCCCTCAACGGCAAAACGCACGTGGACGATCTAAGTCCAACACACGTTCTCTCAAAAATCCTGACTGGTGCTGGTATCACAACACCTATGGCCAGGAAGCGAAATGTTGTCGAAAACCTTGTGATTTCGGCAAAGCCTCCAAGTCTGTGGGAAACTATCCCGCCGGCACGCGTTAGCGGCAACCGTCGCCGGTGGCACTAGCCGCTTACTTTACATCCATGATGTAATGAGCCAGACTAGATATTTAGTCGACACAGGCGCCGAAGTCAGCGTCCTTCCTGCTACAGCAGCAGATCGACAGAAGGAACCTAACTTCAACCTACAGGCTGCAAATGGAAAACCAATTGCAACCTTTGGTCGGAAATACGTCTATCTGAACGTAGGTTTACGCAAACCTATTCAGTGGATTTTCCTTATCGCTGACGTCACAATGCCCATCATCGGCACGGACCTACTTAATCATCATGATTTGCTCGTAGACGTCCGCCGTAAACGACTAATTGACAACACTACTAGTCTGTCTATAAAAGGCATAACTTACATAGGCCCCAGCTTGTCAATCGTTAAGATGAAAGCAATCCTCGATCCAACTTTTCAACCGATTGTTGACAAATATCCGGAACTCAATTGCCCATCTAACGATCTCCCGTGCATAACCAGCAATGTTATGCACCACATCATAACCTCAGGACAGCCCGTGACATCTAAAGCACGACGACTGGCCCCTGACAAACTGAGAATTGCTAGAAATGAATTCGATCATATGCTCACCCTTGGCATCATTCGGCCATCGAATAGTCCATGGGCATCCCCATTGCATATGGTACCGAAAAAGGATAGTAACGATTGGCGACCCACTGGTGATTACCGGCGAGTGAACGCCAAAACAACCCCTGATTGCTACCCTTTGCCTCACATA